TCATATTGATTTCCAGTTATTGCGATATGTCCTGTTAAGTTTGGAGAAACCCCCCCCCACACACACACACACACCTGTAGATTTTAGCATATCCCCGCTCTTTCCAGGGCCACCTATCAGTAAGGCAGGGCATGTAAAATCTTTGCTGCCTGACTCTTCCTTGAGACTTTGTTGCCTTAGGCTGTGGTCTCCACAGAACAAAGGCTGAAGTGTCAGTCCTGGTTTAGGGTGAAGGATATGGGGAGAACTAGGGAGGGGAGCAGCTGAGGACTCCAGATTGGAAAAGGGGTGGGAATGGGGGCCATCCTAGGAGGAGATGGTCACTGCAGCAGGAGGGGGAAGTTGGGGACAAAGAGGAAACCTTCTTCCAGACCTGGGTGTGGTCTTCAGAACTGGGATGTCTATTTGGAAGAAAGAAGCAGATCCTTGCCCTGGCCGGTTTGGCTCAGCGGTTAGAGCGTCGGCCTGCGGTCCGGAGAGCCCTGGGTTCGGTTCCCGCTAAGGGCATGTACCTCGGTTGCAGTTTGTCCCCGGCCCTGGTTGGTCGTGCGGGTGGCAGCCACTCAATGTGTCCCTTTCACGTCGATGCTTCTCTCTCTCTCTCTCCCTCCCACTCTATCTGAATTAAAAAAAAATAAAATAAAAGAATCAGATCCTTGAAGACTCAGAGGAGTGCCCTTAATCCTGAAACCAAACACTGGATTTAGGGAGTCCATGGAAGGGTGGCCACTATTTTACCTTGAAGGGCACAAGAACATACCTCCCCACCAAAAATGTGAAAAATATTAAATAGGGCCCCAGACAGTTTGGCTCAGCGGTTAGAGTGTTGACCCACGGATTGAGGAGTAACGGGTTCAATTCCGGTCAAGGGCATGTACTTTGGTTGAGGTTTGTCCCTGGCCCTGGTCAGGTCATGTGGAAGCATTGATGTTTCTCTCTCTCCCTTTCTCTCTCTGTTTCTCTCTCTCCCACTCTGTATGATAAAAAGTAGAAAAATATCCTCAGTTGAAGAATTAAAAAAAATACACACACACACACATACATGAAATATGCCCTGGCTGGTTTGGCTCAGCGGTAGAGTTTCGGCCCACGGACCAATGGGTCACAGGTTTGATTCTGGCCAAGGGCATGTACTTTGGGTGTGGATCGTCCCCTGCCCTGGTCAGGATCGTGCAGGAGGCAACCAGTCGATGTGTCCCTCTCACATCGATGTTTCTCTCTCTCTCCCTTCCATTTTATCTGATAATAAACAGAACAATATTCTCAGGTGAGGATTGAAAATATATATGAAATATTTTTTTAAAAAATTTTATGTGCGTCTTAGTCCTCCTTTAAAAAAAAAAAAAGCATACCATTCGCACTTGGGGGAGGCACAAGCCCCCGAGGACTCAGAAGTCTGTCCCTCTTCTTCAGAAGTGGAAGGGGGGGAGGAGGGGATGCCTGGCGGTGCAGCTGCCTCCAGCTGCCTGGCCCGGAACACTGGCTGGGAGCTCAGCTAGAGCTGCCCGTCTGCCAGCACCTGCCCCTCAGCCTCCCCCACGGCCCACAGGAGGCTGCTGAGATTGGCGTGGGGTGGCTGGGTGGTAGCCTCGCTCTCCCACAAAGCTAGAAATGGGGGTGGGGAGAAGATTCTTATGAAAATCTCACAAAAATTTGTAACTGACTTGTTATAAAAAAAAAAAATCATCACATGAGAAAAGTCCCAATAACCTCACTTTGAAATTTAGCTCCACTCAAGACGAGCATACGCAGGAGAACCACCTTTCCACACAGGACCCCATGGTCAGGAGAAGCAGCCAGGTGCACCAGGACCCTACTGGCTCTGGTTCACCACCTGCCAAGTACAGGGATCTGGCAACTGATCAGATAAGGCTAATCACAGCGCAGCAGCTGGGGCTGGGGCCCAGAACTGGCCTCTGCCGCTAGATTTCTATACTGGGAGTTTTTACAAAGATCAGCCCAGCTGGTGAGCTCAATGGATTGAGCATAGTCCCATGGACTAAGAGTTCCCGGTTCAATTCCTGGTCAGGACACATGCCCAGGTTGCAGGCTTGATCCCCAGTGGGGGGCATGCAGGAGGCAGCCCATGGATGTTTCTTACATTGATGTTTCTATCTCTCTCTCCCTTCCTTTAAAAAAAAATAGATAAAATAAATAAACAGGAATCACTAGAAGTGCTGGGAGCACCTGCGAAGCTGCCACCCACAGACTCTGCCACTTCCAGCATGACCCTGGCCATCCTCAGTGATCCCAAAGAGGCCACCCATGAGCCCTTCTGCCCTCCTCAGGCCCCACTGCCTGCTGCTTGAAGACAGCAACCGGAAGCAGGCTCTCAGAGAAACCCACTCACTGCACAGGGCTTGCTGCCGTGTTCATTTCCGGACGATGAGGTGTGTGTGGGGGGGAGGTGTTTCCCTGCAGCATCTGTTCTGTGAAGTTTGTTAAAGGGAAAGAAAGCTCAAATTCTTGTATCTTTAAAAGAGAAAATCTTATGTGACCCTTTTGTGTTCTACATTTACTTACGCTCGTAGCCTAGACCTCAGTTTTAGTTTTAACATTGTGAAAATATTCAAAGAATCTTGTAACTTTATTCTTTTTCTCCTGCTGAAAAAAATTAAACCGATCATATAAAAAAGAAAGGCACCAGTAAAGACATGCAAACACAATACAGATCTTTACCATATGCCCTTGATAACCAACTGAGTCCTTAATAAATATGGACTTCACAACCATTAATCATAACATGTTTGAGAGCAATCTGTAACAAAACAGAAAAGGGGGAAATGATTGAAAAAATTTTAAATATTAAAACATAAATTTAAAAACACATTTTAGAATGTTAAAGAGAAAAAAGAAAGAAAAAAAAAACACAGGTGACCAAAGCACACGGTGTGAGGACAGCGAGTGTAGGCAGGATGTGAAGCAACTGGGTGATAAGCAAATGGACCCATGACTGGAGGAAAATTCATTTAAAAGTTCAGAAGAAAACATTTAAACATCCTTATGACTCTTTAGGGGTTCAGGAAGATTGCTAGATGAACTCCCATGAAAAGGTGCAGTCAGAACAAGAATTTTCATCTTGAAAGAAGCTTGACTTTCCTGGTTGTTCAAGAGCTGCTGTTAACACCAGAGAGAGGAAGGGAGAGAGAGATCTGATGCCTCTCTCATGTACTCTCCGACCAGGGAGCAAACCCACAGCCCCAGTATGTGTCCTGACCAGGAATCAAACCCTCCACCTCCCGGTGTACATAACGGAAGACATTTCAACTAACTGAGCCACGCTGGCCAGGATAAGACTTATCACGATCTTAGCATCTCAAGTTTATGGTCAGCAGAACTTGTTGCAAAGAATAATCCAAGAAAAGTGCTCATATGGATTCTGCAAATGATACCTTTTCTTCTTTCCTGGATTAATGATATTTGAAATTACTGTGGCAGCTTTCTACCTGGGCCATAAAATGTTTCTCCTTCCGATGACAAGTGTTGTAACCCAGGAGAGTCATCCTCACTCAGACATCAAGCAATTTTGAATATTACGAGCTTTATTACCTGCGCAGGGACTGCAGCCAACCTACACAGAGGAGAACTGCAGCCCCGAGCTCAGGGGGAGGGTTGCTTATATAGGGCAGGGGTCATTCAAGAGTTTAGCAGAGCAAGCAAGCTACGTGTACAGAAGCAGATATCAGCAGTTAGTAGCTGTACAAGTTGTTTATTTTATATTTCTTAACATTTATTAGACCTTAGCCTTGAATGCCTCATTGCCCCGTCTGGTATCTCCTGATTAGTTAAGCTCATAATCAATACCCTTGTGGTCATGGCTGATGCATACCTTCCTCTTCAAGAATTTTTGCAAAAACCACTCGGGCTCAAGGAACCCAGGAGAGGTTCCTTCTTCTAGCAGATGGAGAATTACTGGGTTATAACACAAGGATTGTTAGCGTGGTAAACATGAGCCAGAGGAAGTCATCGCTCCCCAGTCGTGAGCGCTGGGCGAGCAATTAGACAGGACCTCCGTTCAGCAACCCTGGTACTTGAGTTCAGCTACGAGAAGAATTCAGAGCCAAGAACTCAAATTCTAAGAGAAAGTTTATCTAGAAAGTCAGAGGTAGAAGAAGTGAGCTGTAGAAGAGACGGGCCCAGAACATTAGCTACAGAGGCAAAGGGGGCCGTTGGAGCTTAGGAGAGAGAGGGTCGAGACAGGTGCCTTGAGGAAAGGCCCAGGTGTGCTCCGTAGAAAGCGCCCCACTGGACCCCCCCTCTTGACGGCATTGGTCTGGAGGTCTCAGGGGAGGATCCCAATAAGCTATTCATCCGCATTCCAGGTGCGCCCTTTCAGGGTCCATGGTCATTAGTCAATGCAGCTGGTCCTGATGTCAGCGATGACGTCACTTACATGGTTTTGCTGCTTTTCTGGGCCTGGAGCTGACACACAGCTGAGGCCTAGAAGTAGTTGATACAGGTCGGAACCTCATTGTTTTGGGGGCTTAATCCTTAAGGGTCATTCTCTGGTCCCCTTGTTTGTTCCCCTCTAAGGGGGTCTAACCAGCATGACTAGCAACTAGCCAGGGGAGGATCCAAACCACATGACCAGCGATATGAAAAGTCAGGAGGACGGAGCCGCATCGCCAGCATATGCTAGGGGAGGAAAGGTTACCCAGGGCCAAGGTCCGAGCCAGTCTTGCCCATTGCTAGGTACCCTGGCTTTCCATGTCGGTGACCTTTCATACCTGGCCTATTGCCCTACTCTGCTTTGCCTATCTAACTGCTTACTACACGAACAGGGTGTGTGCCTGTGTATATGGGAGGAGTCACTGCTGAAGAAAGCAGAGGTCTCAGCAGTTACAGGAAACAAAATGTAGAGGAAAGGAACGAGAAATGAACAGGGAAGTCAGAAATGAGGAGAGAGAGGGAGTGTCCTGGGCACAGACCCCGCCCCCAGCCCACAAGACCAGGGAAGTGATCTTGCCACAGGAGGAGGCTCAGTGCACTGGGAGGAGGGACAGCAGATCCCACACGTCAGAAGAGCAGGGCTTGTGAGCATTTCTGGAATCCAGGCTCTTCTCACAGAGGGAGGGACAGAGCAAGAAGCAAACACCATGGAGTACCTCTCAACCCCTACCTGCAGAGGGCGTGTGCCCTGGCAGGGGCTCCTGCTGGCCGGTGAGAGGGGACAATTACCTGGTGGTGGACAGGAGGATGGGAAACAGAGACTAGCTGGGGACTCCTTGGGAACACAGAGCTCTCAGAGGGAACAAGGGGTAGGTGTGTAGACCTGAGGGGAGAGGATTCAGAAGCACAGTAGGATGGGGGAGGAGACTCACTAACAGGAAAATCTCATGATTTAGAAGTGGTGAGGGGCAGGAAAAGCTCAATGGCTGTTCATTTCCCAAGTTATTCCCAAGTTGAAAGTTTTTTGATAATAACAATTTATGTGAGGAGACCAAAGTCTTGACCAGGGGCACTAAACATTATCCTTCCCACCAGCCTCAGACATGGGACATAGACCCAGGAGGTGCAGGACTGGGAACATCATTCATTCACCCACAGGGGTTTGCCGCTGTTGCAGGCCCTGGGGGACAGGATCTGACAGGCCCTGCCCACATGGAGCTCACGTTCTGTGGGGAGGAGACAGACAAGGAGGGATCTAGATGGGGTGGCAGGTACACACAGTGCCATGAAGGGAACAGAGCAGGGACAGGGGAGAAAGTGGAGTCAGAGGGTCTGTAGAGGAGGTGGTCAGGGAAGGTGTCTCCGAGGGCTCCCCTGAGTGTCAGCAGGGGTCTGAGGGCTGTGAGGGGTGAGCCATGCAGACACCTGGGAAAGAGTATTTGAAACAGAGAACATAACAAGTCATTGTGGCCATGCTGCTGAGCTTGACCTTGACCACAGGACACAGACACAGACACACACACACACACACACACACACACACACACACACACACACACCAGGGCTGAGAGATGAAGAGATCTGCTCAGAACCCAGGGCCTCATCTCTCCATCCCAATACATAGATCCCAGTATTTGAATAATTTGTCTCTTCCCTCCTAGGCTCACTCTTAATTTTCTGGAGCCCGCCCATCACTCAACAACTCACTGTTGTGTCGATCGATGCTACTGAAGGGGAGGATGTGCTTCTCCGTGTCCACAATCTGCCTGGGGATCTTGTAGGCTACAACTGGTTCAAAGGGGAAAATGTAGAAAATGAAAACCGTTCCATTGCATCATATGTAATAGGCAATGAATTGACTGTCCCTGGACCTGCAGGCAGCGGTCGAGAGACAATATACCCCAATGGATCCCTGCTGTTCCGGAAGGTCACCCAGGAGGACACGGGATACTACACACTACAAGCCATAAAAAGAAATTTGCGGAGTGAAAGAGGAACTGGTCGGCTCCGAGTATACCGTGAGTGATTGCTCTCTGACCTCTGGTGTGGGGTGGGGTGGACTCCACTTCACACGCAGGACTGACGGCCCTGGACTCCGCCTCCATCCCCTCTGCACCACGTCCCAGGTTGGGTTTGGGCATTTAGTGCAGGACACGCACAGTGGAGACAAACTTCCTAAGATCAGAGTTCCCTTCCGGATTCCAGCCCTGCAGACATTCACAGTGGAGAGAAGGACCAGTCTGATGGGAGTAACTCAGCAGAGGGAGACCAGTCTCAGTCCAGCCCCCTGGGCCCCTCCCCATCACCATGACCCTGAGCAAGACCCTGCAGGACTCAGTCAGGGCCTGGCCTAAGGGGCCCCTGGAATCCTCACAGGAAAGTCAGCCCAAGAGCCCCTCCCCAGACCCCTGTCCTAGGGTTCCTGACTCCATGGACCCTGGGGAGCCTGTGTCAGGAGGGTTTGCCCTCCTGCAAGGACTGGCTGGGAAAAATGGTTTCCTGGCTGCGTTACTTCTGAGACTCCTGAGCTTCTCACTAGCCAGGGCTCAGCCCTAAAAGCCACATCAGGGCAGGGACAGAGCCTGGTCCTTCACCTGAGATTATGTGGGGAGAACACAGATAGACAAGCTCTCTGGACCATTAGCTGACTGCCCTGGGGGACAGAGGAGACTCCAGAGGGAGGTCAGGTCCCCAGGGAGGAACAGAGGAGAGAGGATGCTCCTGGCAGCTCCTCATCCACCAGGGGTCAGCCCAGGGGACTCTCTCATGGAGGCAAACAGTGGTAGATGCCATCTATTTTGGCGGCTTCTCTATACTAAGTCAAGTACTCAGGGATGTTTTAAGGGTAATTCACAGACAACATGGTGATCCAGAGTTCATTTACCATTTATTCGCTTTTTATTTGAGGGAAACTGAGGCACGGTGTGATACAGTCATTGCATCAGAGTCACGCAGACCAGGAGCAGCAGCTCAGACACAGCAAGGTCCTTGTGCAGCCGCAGCCCCACCCCCTCCTCCACTCGGGGCCCTATCTGGTGTCTGTGGACCCCGAGACCACCAATTGGTTCAGGTCCTTTCTCCTTAGCCAGCCCCAGATCAAGGTAGATGTCCGGGTCTGGGGAGTGACAGCAAAAGGAAAATTAATTAATTTCTACCCTGGAACCGAATTGCCTGCAGCTGGCTCAGGGACCAGCATGGAACATACACCCAGTTGCTTTTGATGAAGGGAAATATGATGCTGAATGACTAAACGCATCAATGAATCAATGATTCATAATCACTACAGAGACAGGCACCTGGATGCAGAGTCCTAGGAGGTTTAGGCCAGCCTGGTCCCTGTCCCTCCAGGGGCTGAGACTCATGTTCATCCCTCTGATCACCTGCCCCTGAAGCCCCCCAGGAGCCAAGTCTCATGGCGACTGTGGGGCTGTTCCGCTGTGGGAGGGTTTTCCGGGCTGCAGTGGTCCTGCCGTGGGGCAGCCATGGGTTCTGGACACCTGGGGTCCTTGAATCACCTGTAACCTCCACTGCTCACCAAGGACAGTTCTGCCCTCTGAGGGACAGTTCCATGTCCCTCATCTGCCTCCAGCCACACTGCCAGCTCTGCTCTGCTTCCTCCACCCTGCAGTCTCCCCAGATTGCCCTGCTAACTCCTGTGTCCAGACCCACGCTCCCAGGCAATAGGAAAGGACACAAATCAGTCGGAGCAGCAGCCCTGGGCTCCATCATGACCCAGTCTCCCAGGTCACCAGGAGAAAGAGCTTCTGCAAGGTCCCCATCCAGGGCTCCTTCCCTCCATGAGGCCAAGAGGAACAGGCCATGTGACAGGGACATGTAAACCAGGGGTCTACTCTCTATGTGACTCTGTCAGGGAGTCAAAGGCAGAAGGACAGGTCTCAATCCCAAAAGCTCACGGCGCACTTCACCCCAGACCCATGGCTCACATCCCGTCCTGGTGTGAGGCTCCCGTTCCTCCCAGTGGCTCCTGAGACCTTCCCAAGGTGGGCTGGTGCCCTGCACCATCTGACTGGTTCACTGCCTATTTCACACACATGTGTCCTCATGATGACTCCTTGCCCACGGGGTGGGGTCCTCTCAGATCGTGAGGTACACCATCCACTGCCCTTTCTCTTAGACGCTGCCCGATTTGAATGACTTTGATCCAAACTCCAGTTGTTTCCTGAGTTAGAAAGAAAAGGAAGACCCCATGCCACATGCCCGTGGGGGCTCCTCCCCATTTGCCTGACTGTCCATAGAATCTGGTGACAGGGACCATCGCCCTAGCTTTACTCACTTAACACATCTTGTCTATCAGTTTGGTATCGTTCCTCCCTTTATAGGGCAGAGACACCTGGATTTGCCCTCTGATCGCTGCTCTCTTAGCAGGACTCACCGTCTCTCTCTCTCCCTAGGGAGGCACTGATTTCAAACGCACTGTGGCATCTTCCTTTGGTCACCTGGTTGGACTGCGGAACTTGGTCTGTGAACGTGAATGTTCTCTAGGCAGAGAACCCTCCAAAAACTGGTCTTTGATCTGTGGGGCGTGAATAATAATGTTCACATTTTTGTTCACAATGTAACTCAAAATCTATCTCACAACTGCCAAACACAAATGGTCCATGGGGGTCACATTTTCAGCAAGTTCATGCTCCCCCACCTAAAGTCACCCCTCTGTGCTGGCTGTGGTCTGAGTATTTGAGGAAGGACCCTGCCCTCTGCAGTGGCAGGAAGGACATTAAAGACCAAGGGCAGCCCTGGCCAGCTTGGCTCAGCGGTTAGAGCGTCGGCCTGCAGTCCAGAGAGACCCGGGTTCGGTTCCCGCTAGGGGCACGTACCTCAGTTGCAGTTTGTCCCTGGTCCTGGTTGGTCGTGCGGGTGGCAGTGACTCAATGTGTCCCTTTCATGTCGATGTCTCTCCCTCTCTCTCTCTCTCTCTCTCTCTCTCTTCCTCCCACTCTATCTGAACAAAAAATGGAAAAATGTCCTCGGGTGAGGATAAAAAAAAAAAAAAGACCAAGGGCAGAGAGCATGGTTCTGCTGCCAACACCAGCCAGCTCCTGCCATCCCTCACTCTTCTTACTCATTCCTGGACTCCGCACTACCCTTTCTGGGGCCACTGTCTCATGTCAGTCACCAGTGAACTCCTGGGCAGGCGGCCCCAGCTCGTGGCCCTGCAGCCTGGGTACTGAACTGACCACCAGACTTGCTTCTGGTCTCCCGTGTGTTGTTTCTCTCAAACACCCAGGCCCAGGCCACACTGCCCAGTCCCCTGGGGGTGAAGGACTGTGGGACGGCCCGTCGTTACTCACCTCTAGGATAAGCCTGCCTGTGAGGCTTCAGTGGAAACAAATCTCGACCCAGCAATGTGGGTGTGTGTAGCTCGCAGGGACTGAGCTCCCTCATGTTCAGGTGGGACCCCGGGGTCGGCCAGGCAGCCCGCTGGTCAGTGAGGAACCAGGACAGGTGCCGGGGAGCTCTGACTCCCAGTCCTGTCTTTCCAGGATCGGGCTCTGATACTTACCTGACACCTGAGAGAATCTGTACTTTCTCCCAGACGTAGAGCCGGAGGCCTTAGGTTCCCTGAGCGCTCAGATCCCCATGCATTTGTTTGTCTTGTAAAACAGGGACCGGCCTTGTTTCTTTAAGAACTCAGGTTGACTGAGAAGTGAGAGGCACCAAGTCTGACTGAAGAAGCCTTTGGAGGAATCAAAGGTACCACAGGGTAATGTTCTCTCTGTTCCCTGCACAGCAGAGTTACTCACACCCAACATCACAACCAACAACTCCAACCCCGAGGAGAACAAGGACCCTGTCGTGTTAACGTGTGAACCTTGGACTCAGAACACCACCTACCTGTGGTTGATCAACAGTCAGAGTCTCCCAGACAGCACCAGGCTGCAGCTGTCCAGCGACAACAGGACTCTCACTTTACTCCATGTCACAAGGAATGACACGGGACCCTATGTGTGTGAATCCCGGAACCCAGTGAGTGCCGGCCGCAGTGACCCATTCACCCTGAATGTTCTCTGTGAGTAACTTCAGTCCCTGCCTGGGACAGGCTGCCCGCCCAAATCCACACTTCCAGAGGCCAGGTTACATCCGTCCCTCTCGGTCCAAGCACACAGACCCTCACTCCCAACACCCAGGGTGGCCATGACTTCTGTCCCAGGCAAATCCGGGCAGGCCTCAGGGTTGGGACAAACAGGTTAATGTCTCGGACTCAGGCTCAGTGAACACAGGGGTTATAGTTGGGACGTTTTATTATTATTTATTTTTTTTTTTTTATCCTCATCCGAGGACATTTTTCCATTTTTTGTACAGACAGAGTGGGAGGGAGAGAGAGGAAGAGAGAGAGAGGGAAACATCGATGTGAAAGGGACACATCGAGTGGCTGCCACCCGCACGACCAACCAGGGCCGGGGACAAACTGCAACCGAGGTACATGCCCTTAGCGGGAACCGAACCCGGGTCTCTCCGGACCGCAGGCAGACGCTCTAACCGCTGAGCCAAACCGGCCAGGGCTAGTTGGGACGTTTTAAACAAGGCCGGGACCTAGCGCAGAGGGACAGTGTGGCCCTTACACAGACCAGGAGCTTCCCCTTCCCTCTGGTTACATCATGTGTGGTTTTGTTCCTTTTGCTCCAGATGGCCCGGATGCACCCGTCATTTCCCCCCCAGACTCCCACTACCCTACAGGGGCAAATCTCAACCTCTCCTGCCATGCAGCCTCTAACCCGCCTACACAGTATTCCTGGTTTATCAGTAGCAGCCCCCCGCAACCCACACAGAAGCTCTTTATCCCCAACATCACTGCGAATGATAGTGGATCCTATACCTGCCTCGCCCATAACCCTCACACTGGCCTCAGTAGGACCGCGGTCAAGATGATCACAGTCTCTGGTAAGTGCCTCCTGGACCATCGGCACCAAGCTCTGGGGTACAGATCTGTCTGGTTCTCAGCAAAGAGCCTAGAAGATGTCAGCTCCCGTCCTGTGGCCATGGACACAAGCAAATCACCAACGCTTCCCCTGAACCCTCCCCTGCCCCTCTGTAGACTCCCTCCCCTTGCTCTCCTGATTTCTCATGGCAGAGCTGGGGTCCAGCCTTGGAAAGTGGGGTCCTCTCAGCCCCAGAAAGCCCCCAGTAGTGAAGGGGGCTTCACAGAGAGGGAAAAACAAGGGTGCTCAAGGTCAGGTTACTTCTTCTGTCACCGACACATTCCTTCTGTCACCAACACATTCCTTCTGTCACCAACACATTCCTTCTGTCACCAATTTCTTCTCTGTTACCTACTCCACGTGCTACAAGAAACATACAAGGCTTTGAATCAAACTCACCTCTTTTTCCCCAAACAAAAGGATGAAACCACCTCCGAGGGGTGAGCAGCACAGACCCCTGCTCTCTGCTCTGCTCCAGGCTCACCTGGTGACTGACTCTGCTCTGTGACATCTTGGTGGGACAGGGCTCTGTGGAGAAGTTGCATGGGTGGCCTGTCCCCAATCTGGCCAAACTGTGTCACTCACTGACACCAGAGCCTCCCTCGGACCAGGCTGCGTGGAAGTGGGAAGAGAGCGAACCGTAGGGCAGACCCCTCTGAGCCGTGTGTGTCTTGGCTCAGAAGTCACCAGCTGTACAACGCTGTGCGACACCAGCGTGTATGATATTCCAAAGGAGAGCCGTGAACGGTGGTGCACACTTGACAAATAGGTAGGTTCGTCCATGAAGTCCCTTCATGGGACAGAAGCTGCAGTGCCACAAAGGTTGTAGATTACGGAGGAGGCCGAGTACCAGCCTTGTGTTAAAACTGTGAGTCCTTCTCTTAGAGATTCCCTTCTCTGTGATGTTCAACCCACAGGCCGGGAAGTGAACGTGCTGTTCAGATAGAGAAACCCTTTAGATTAGAATTTCTCCAGCCCGGCTCAGTTGGTTGAGTGTCATCCTGTGCACCGAAAAAGTTGCTCGTTTGATTCCTGGTCAGGGCTCGTACATGGGTGGCAGGTTCGAGTCCGGTAGGAGCTTGTACAGAAGGCAGCCAATTGATGTTTCTTTCTCACATTAGTGTTTCTCTCTCTCTCTCTCTCTCTCTCTCTCTCTCTCTCTCTCTCTCTCTCTCTCCCTCTCTCCCTATCTCACTCTAAGCATGTCCTCAAGTGAGGATTAAAAAAGAAAAGAATTTCTCAGGTCCTAAGGACATGAAGACTGCTTGGACTATTCTCATTCTCTTGTAAATTATTTAACAAAAGGAAATGCTTTCCCATCTCTTTGTAAAGTCACTAGAGAGGAGGTCTCACCTTTTAGAAAGTCACCGAAATCTCTAGGAGAGAGTCACACTGAAGTCAGTGGGTGAAAAATTCCACCTGATGATGAAGCTGCTGGACATGGGCTTAGAAGAGCTTCCTGGTGCTGATACTAGATGTCCAGGGACACAGTCAGGGATCATCCTCGGGGGATCTGGGACCACAGAGAAGGTGCAGTCCCCTCCTTACACAGTCACCTGAACAAAGATACTTGCCCTGCAGGGGTCAGGTCCATCCTCTGGTGACCTTTACAGAGCTCACTGTGGACCGTGGTGGCTGAGATCTCTGAGGAGGAGCCCACTCTCAGTCACCTCCTCTGCTTCTCCACAGAGCCCGTGGGGAAGCCCTCCATCCGAGCCAGGAACAGCACAGTCACAGAGCACAAGGACACCGTGGTCTTGACCTGCCTCACAAATGACACTGGGATCTCTATCCGGTGGCTCTTTTTTTGTTTTTTTGTTTTTTTTTATCCTCACCTGAGGAGATTTTTCCATTTTTTGTACAGATAGAGTGGGAGGGAGAGAGAGGAAGAGAGAGAGAGGGAAACATCGATGTGAAAGGGACACATCGAGTGGCTGCCACCCACACGACCAACCAGGGCCGGGGACAAACTGCAACCGAGGCACATGCCCCTAGCGGGAACCGAACCCGGGTCTCTCCGGACCGCAGGCGGACGCTCTAACCGCTGAGCCAAACCGGCCAGGGCTCTATCCGGTGGCTCTTTAACAAGCAGAGTCTGTGGCTCACGGACAGGATGAAGCTGTCCCAGGGCAATAGCACCCTCACCATAGACCCCGTCAGGAGGGAGGATGGTGGCAGTTATCAGTGTGAGGTCTCCAACCCTGTCAGTTCCAGCAAAAGTGACCCCCTCTGGCTGGATGTACAATGTAAGTGACCCCTTACCCCATCCGACATCTCCCTGGGAGGACTGCTCTTCCAGTGGTGCGAGGAATGGACAGAAGTCACAGGGGGCAGAATGTCAGTCAGGAGACATTACAGTAAACAGAATGGCAAAATGGCTAAGAGCTCAGTCTCTGAACCAGGTATACTTAGTTTCTTATCCTGGGTCTGGCTTTTACTGTGTGACATTGCACAGGATTTTTTTTTTCCTGTTACCATTTTTAATGTGATAAATTTACCATTTTTTTTAAAATTTATCCTCACCCAAGGACATTTCTCCATTTTTTGTTCAGACAGAGTAGGAGGGAGAGAGAGGAAGAGAGAGAGAGAGAGAGAGAGAGAGAGAGAGAGAGAGAGAGAGAGAGAGAGAGAGAGAGAAACATCGACGTGAAAGGGACACATCAAGGGGCCGCCACCTGCATGACCAACCAGGGCCGGGGACAAACTGCAACCGAGGTACATGCCCTTAGCGGGAACCGAACCCGGGTCTCTCTGGACCACAGGCCGATGCTCCAACCGCTGAGCCAAACCGGCCAGGGCAAAATTTACCACTTTTAAGTGTACAGCTCAGTGGCACAAGTATATTCACATTGTTGTGCAATCATTACCATTATCCATTTTGAACTTTTTCATCTAACCATAGTAAAACTCTGTACCCATTAAATAATAGCTCTCCACTCCCCCCACTCAACCCCTGGAAACCACCATTCTACTCTTTGAGAGAATTTAAGAAAATCTGAAGCAGGAGCCAAGACAGGCCAATCCTATCATAAAGCCACTGGCAATAGCTTGGGTGGGCCTGAAAGCTGTGTGGGGCGGGGCCTCAGGGAGTCACCAGGGCGGGTCAACAGTGTGAGCCAAGGTGCTGGAGTCCCAGATATGGTGCCCCTCTGCCTGCCCCGTGAGGGAAGGGCTCACCAAAAGAACAACAACCTCTGCCAGCATGTCTGTTGGGAGAAAGCTGCCTCTCAGCTCTCACCACAATGCCAAACAACTCAGTTCTTTCTTGCATGTCTCTGGTGCCTTTTAAGCTGCTTCCCCGACACTGGAGCCCAGAAGGAATGAATCCAAGTAAGTCTGTGCTCTGGCCCTTTAAGAGGAGCTGCCTGGGGCTCCAGAAGCCTCAGCCTCCCTCAGCCTCAATTCCCACTGTTTTTTGTGTGTGGTTTTTTTTTTTGTACATGCCTCTAGTGGGAACCAAACCCGAGACTCTCTGGTCCGCAGGCAAAGGCTCAACCACTGAGCCAAACCGGCCAGGGCCCCACTGGTTTTTACAGCCAGAAGTTATGGGGACTTCTCTTCCTGGCACTGGAACCCTGAGCTGGAGGGCTGGTGTGGGATGGGGAACCCTCACTCCTTGGGGAGGACCTTCCCAGCCAAGGTATTTTTATCCGCCATAGGTGGGTATGGGACCAACCATCTGTACCTCCGCCCCTTCTACCCATCTTGATGTGCTTCTTTTTTGTTTGTTTGTTTTTAATTTTTTTCTTTATTGATTTTAGAGAGAGAGGAAGGGAGAGAGATAGAAACATCGATGAGAGAGAACATCGATTGGCCGCCTCCTGCATGCCCCCCACTGGGAATTTGGCCCACAACCTGGGCATGTGCCCTGACCGGGAATCGAACCAGTGACCTCTTGGTGCATGGGTCTATTCTCAACCACTGAGCCACAGCAGAAGGGCATCAATGTGCTTCTTCTTTAATTTTGTAGTTGTAGGACTTCCATTCAGCTCGATGTCAGGCGGTTCTGAATAATGGTTGTTCAGTAGTTTGGTTGTAATTTTGATGTGGTTGTGGAAGGAGGTGAATACTGGTTACCTACGTTGCTATCCTGACCTAATTATTGGCTAAGACTTCCAATACTGTTTTGAGTAAAAATAGCTAAAGAGGCATCTTTGTCTTATGCCTGATCTTGGAAAAAACTTTCAGTCTTTCACCATTCACAATGATGATAGCTGTGGGTTTTTCATAAACGAACTTTATTATGTTGAGGTAGTTTCCTTCTATTCCTAGTTTGAATGTTTTTATCATAAAATGATGTTGGATTTTGTCAATTGCTTACACTGATTCAATCTCCTTACTATTTACAGGTCTATTCATATTTTCTTTTTCTTTGTGATTCCATCTTTGTAGGTTTTGTGTTTCTAACAATTTGTCCATTTCCTCTAAGTTATCCAATTTATTGGCATATAAATATCCATAGTACTATTATAATTCTTATTTGTTGAGAATTGATAGTAATGTCCCCACTTTCATTTCTGATTTTAGTAATTTGAATCTTCTTTCTTTTTATCTTAGTCAATCTAGTATCAGGATTGTCGATTTTGTTCATCTTTATTGAGGAATGAACTTTTGGTTTCATTGACTTTCTCTACTGTTTTTCCATTCTGTACTTTATTATCTTCACTCTAATCTTATGATTCCCTTCCCTCAGCTAGTTTTGAGTTTAGATTGTTCTTTTTTCTCTAGTTCCTTAAGTTGTAAAGTTAGGTTGTTGATTTGAGATCTTCCTTCTTTTCTAAAGTAAGTATTTACAAGTACAAATGTCTTGCACTAGATTCATAACTTCTCTGAGCCTCATATTCCACAACTGAAAATTACAAGAGTACCGCTTCATGTTATTGTTTTAATGTTTAATGTAATAATCACTTAAATCCTTAGCAAATGCCACACACAGAGGAAATGTTCCATAAGTGTTAGCTGCTATTATTACTACTGTTATCACTAGCCTCTATGAAGGCAGGTGGTCCTGGAGTCAAAGCCCAGATCCACCTCTTACTAATCATATGATTTGGGGTAAGTTTTTCACCAGTCTAAGCATCAATTTTTTCATCAGTAAAATGGAAATAATGTCTATCTGACAGGGTTATTATATGAATCAAATGAGATATAAATAAAGTATTAAACACAGGGCCTGGCACATAGTAAATACCCCATATAGTAGCTAACATTAATATTAATCATCAAGCTTGAGTTGACTGGTGAATAAAATTAAAAAATAATAAAGAGGAAACAGATGCAAAATGTATTATATTTGGGGGCATCACGCACAAAAATCATAGAGACAGGCCCTGGCCAGTGTTGCTCAGTGGTCTCAGGTTTGACTTCCAGCCAAGGGCACATACCTGGGTTTCAGGTTCATCTCCAGCCCCAATCAGGGCATGTTCTGGAGGCAACCAATCGACATGTCTCTCTCACATTGATGTTTCTCTCTCTCTCCCCTTCTCACTTCTTTCCCTTCTACTCTCTTTAAAAACCAACAGAAAAAATATCCTTGGATGAGGATTTTAAAAAATATCATTGGACATGGTTACTGATTAAATACAGGGGGGGGGAAAGGAATTCAGTGCGAAATATTAAGCCTAGTTTGTTCGTTTTCATCCCCTGAGATGCAACCAAGATGGATTAGACATACAAAATATTTATTGAAAAAAAATGCCTATGAAGTAATATGAATGGAAGTGGGAGGAGCCTGGGAGATTCCTCAGACCACGATGCAGATCTGAGTACTGGAAAGAGAAAGAGAAGGCAGTTTTCAGTTGCAGTCTGTCTCTAAGAGAGTATCTGCAAGGCTGATGGGGAGTCCTTGAGCTCAAGTCACCCATCAGAAGAACCATTTCTCAGAGAATTGGTTGTTATTTTATCCCTGCTGGGAGCCTGTGGGAAGCCAGGTCCCTGTGCAAAGGAGGTGGTGCATTCACCACAGGAGACCTGCGTGGCACATATTCATGGCTGCCCCACCTGGTACAGAGAAAAACATGCAACCATGATATGGTGAAAACATAACTTACTAAATGGCAATGAGCCCCTCTCACATTTCCAAAGCTCCAAAAATATCTGAGTGCAGAAAGGCCAGGATGGAATTGAGGAAAGTCTGACCACCGACCTAGAAATACAGTGACAGACAAAAATTACAAGCATATGGTCAGCTAATTACCTCCTAGAGAAATGTATTCCTTGGAGGAACAAGCCGAGACTACTTCATGTTGGGAGTCATTGCCCAGGGCAGCCCCACTGTAAAATGTCACCAGCTTCATTCATGCTTCTCTTTTCTCTCCTTGACAGATGTTTCAGCATCACAGCATCCTGGCCTCTCAGATGGGGCTATTGCCGGCATCGCGATTGGAGGCCTCCTTGTAGTGGTCCTGGGGACCTCTCTGGGGTATTTCCTGTACCAGAGGAGGACTAGAAAGTACAATGGCATTTTCTTCACCCTAATCCTGCCCCACACCCTCGCCCAAGGCTGACCCTCAGTTGACCCTAGGCCAGGAGGGAGAAGATCCCCTCCTTGTCCTCGGGTTCCGAGCTGGCTCTCTGTGGCCCCCCAACTTCCCCATGTATATTGCTAAGTCACTCCATCCAGCTCCTCCCTCATCAGCTGCTGAGCAGGGCGGTTTCCCCAACGGCCTCCTTGTCTATAAATTAGGTACAATTAAGGAACTGTCCCCTCAGGATCTGCTGCCTCAGCATGTGAAGGTCATCCTGGCCTAGGTCACACAGCTGAGGTGGAAGAGCCTGGACAAGTCCAGTGGAGTCAAGCGCCCCCACATGGCCGGTTTGGTAACCAGAACCCAGATGTGTGAGATGGGAGACCTGGGCCTGGACGGCCAGCAGATCCTGTGGGTGTCATTTCTGCCTCTAGTTCAGGCAGATGGAGACAGGACAGGCCACTGTCACATTTTAGCTCCGGTGGCCTGAGGGGCAGATCTGGCCACAGCAGGTCACCGCGTTTATTCCGATGCAACATGCACAGGGCTCACCTGTGCTGACCTTGCTTCCCTCTGAAGCCTTGACCTTCCCACTAAGTCAGACCCTCGGGGTTGATCCTGTCCTGGTCCTCAGTCCCTTCCCTGGTAACTAACCCCTGGGCTCCCCCATCTGCCTGTGAGTTCTTCCCCTGTGGGCCCAGGGTAGCTGTGGATTCTTTTTTTCTTTTTTTAATGTTTTTATTGCTTTTTCAGAGAAAGACATAGAAACATCGGTGCGAGAGAGAAACATCAGTAGGTTGCCTCCTGCATGCCCCACGCTGGGGATGGAGCCTGCAACCCAGGCATGTGCCCTGACCGGGAATCAAACCGGGACCTCTCAGTCCATGGGACGATGCTCAATCCGCTGAGCCACAACGGCTGAGCAGCTGTGGGTTCTTTTTTGTTTTGTTTTGTTTTTTGGTACGTGCCCCTAGCCACTAGGGCCTAGCAGGAACCAGACCCAGGACTCTCTGGTCCACAGGCCAATGCTCCAACCGCTGAGCCAAACCGGGCGCAGCTGTGGATTCTTTTTTTTTCTTTTTATCCTCACCCGAGGATACCCTTCCATTTGTTCAGATAGAGTGGGAGGGAGGGAGGAGGGAGAGAGAGAGAAAGAGAGAGAGAGAGAGAGAGAGAGAGAGAGAGAGAGAGAGAAAGAGAAAGATCGTCGTGAAAGGGACACATCGAGTGGCTGCCACCCACACAACCCAACCAGGGTCGGGGACAAACTGCCATCGAGGTACATGCCCTTAGCGGGAACCGAACCCGGGTCTCTCTGGACCTTAGGCCGATGCTCTCACCGCTGAGCCAAACCGGCCAGGGCGTAGCTGTGGATTCCTAACACCTTGCCTCAGTTCCCCTCTCCTGGGCCCACCCCCTCCTAGACAGTACAGAGGGGTCTCCACCCTCTGCTGGGAAAGGTGACCCTCTTGTCCCCTGCTGTGACACAAAAGCTCCCCCTGCACCCCTCACAAATAAGTCTCACCTTTCCTAGGGCCAGTGACCCTCATGGCCTCAGAGAGCACCCACCCCCAGCATCTACCCCTGGTGAGTATCTGTTCAACCAGGGAGTGGCCGGAGCCCCTGGGCCTGCCCCACAGTGTCCACTCCTGTCCTTCCCTGGGCTTCAGGGAGGTTCTCATCAACCACTCAGCACAGGGGACCCGACCTACAGGGCTGTGCATGTGTCACCACCCCACCCTCACTGGCCAGAGGGTCCCACTCTGAGGGATGCTCTTTCACCCCTGGTTCTTAGGAGTTAAAAAAAAAATCCTACCCCTCCTGGGAAAATGGGCCACAGCTTCCTCACCCCCTGGGTGCTAACTCCTCCTGTCTCTGCTCCCAGGCCAGGGTCCCTCTGGAACCTCTGCAATCCAGGTAGGTCCAGCCCCGCCCTGTCCCTTGATGCAGGGTCCCAGCTGTGCAGGCTCAGGGCAGGGGTGCCGTCCACCCTCACGGCACAGCACAGACCCTTTCCCCAGAACAGCCAGCACAAGGCGAGCCCGCCCTGGCCTGGAGGGGGCACCCATGTCAGGGGCAGACCACCCCACCCTGTCCTGAGTCTGCCCTAGGTCCCTGGGTGGGCCTGAGGAGACCCTGGAGTCCAGCACAGAGCTCCAGTCAGGAGTCTTGGGCTAACAAGGGCAGGGGGGATGCAGTATGAACTGAAATTGGGGTACAGGGCTACAGGCTTGAAGACAGCTGCAGAGCTATCTGTCCTGTGGAGAAATGACCCTTCTTCCTTGTCCCCTGATGCCCTCTCTCTCCCTGATGCACAGGGCCCCCCACCCGGCTCCAGGACAGCCGGCCCCATCTACCAGGTGAGTGTGGACGGTGGACATTCTGTCCTGAAGGTCCCAGGGGGCCCAGGACCTGCCCCCACCCAGCCCTGGCTATGCTTCCAGACTCAGGAAATGGCAGCAAAAGTGAAAACCGAGGGTAGGGAGGAGGGAGGTACTGGGGGACAGTCACCTGCAGCACAGTCAGGCCCTGGAGCACCTGTGAAACGCTGCACTTGTTCTGAGAAGGTCGCAGGGCTCAGAGGTCTCTTCTGTCTTTCACAGGAATTACTGCACCCAAACACAGATGTGTACTGCCGGATCAACCCCACAGCAGACGGGACTTCCTAGTTCCTCCAGCACCTGCTCCTTCAAGGCTGTGGGGAGGGGCAACCTGAGACCCTAGTCCTTGAGGGGTGTCAGGAACTGAAGCCTGAGCCAGAGAACCAGCTCTGAGACCTGAGTATATTCGGGACCTGGGCCCAAGGTTGGGGTCCCTCTTGATTACTGGAGACCCTGGCAGGCCGCACTGAGCCCTGATGGACCAGGATAACGGCTCTCATCTTCTAAAATGTGGCCAGGCCTGTGAGCACACAGGACCACCCGAGTGATCTGAATAAAGGGGATCGTCCCCTCATTTGCTCTTTTTCTATGAACGGGAACTCCTTTGAGCAGAAATTCACCTGAAACTCTAGGTCCTTTCTCTCCAGGGTCACACAGGGAAAACATCATCTCTAAGCTACCCCAGCCCCATCGCTGTTTCCTGGGAGAGAGGAGAGGTGTGGACACGGAGATGGGGGACAGGCAGAGATGAGAGGGGCTGCGGCCTGGCCAGGAGAGTGTTCGGCTGTCCTCACATGGCCCAGGGGACCAGGCCATGGACACCTCCCAGGTTTGCCCCTCTGCACATGGTCACTGGGTCTCAAGAGCACAGAATAGGGGCCATCTCGTGTCCTCACAGAGATGAGCAAGGATTCTTCTCTGGGGTCATTACCTGCACCCATGGGCAGAGCACATATCCTGGGTGGGGCCCCTCTGAGTCTCCCAGTGTCCTGTGCCTGGTCTTCTGCCTCACCCAGGCCCTGGTGTCCACAACTGGTGGTCCCCATGAATAAACTTGCCTATCCAGGAGGCATGGTGCTGGGTCCTGTCCATGAGTTTCTGCTTTGACTCAAAGGCTAGCCGACAGGACATTTTTTTATCTGGAGGACGCAGAGAGAGGCTGTCAGAGTAACCAAGGTGGGGAGGACCCAGGACTCCTACCCTGAGCAAAGCCCTCCTTGGCACTATCCATGACCCCCAGACCCCCACTTTCCATCAGTTTGTACTTTCCTACTTGACACAGAAATCATTGAAACAGGTCTCTCTTCGACCAGTAAGCATCCAGGTCTTCTACCAAACCAACTCTCTCCCAGGCTCCCGTGGCAACGGGACAATGTCTCCCCTGCCCCTGGCCCATGGGCCTCCTCCCTCGCATGCCTCACCTGCAGTCCCCTCTACACAGCTGGGCCCACAGTTCTCAGTCCTTCCCTGAGGACCCAGGTTGGGCGCTCTTCCCATGTAGGTTCACTCGGATCAGGGCGCCCACATTTGCACAAAGCTGGCCCTACACAGCGGCAAGAGCCACAGTCCAAGAGGATGTTCCCCACTGCCCGAGCCTTGTCTGGCATGAGATGAGAGATGGTAACAAACCTGCAAAGTTTCCCGTCATGTTTGCTCTAACTCACTCCTCATCCCAATGCACACAAGGTTGGATTAGACAAGGTGATGCCTCTCCTTGGCTTCCTATGGCTGCTGGAGCAAATTACCACAAACTTGGTGGAGGCAGACAACACAAACCAAGGCGTAGACATGGTGGTTCCTTCTGGGAGTTCTTTCTGACATCCTTGCCTTTCCAGCTGTTACAGCCACCTGCACCCCGTGACTGCGGCCCTCGTCCAGCTCCAAGGCCGGTGGTACAGCCTCTTCAAGTCTCTATGCTCTGCTTCCATCCTCACCTCTCCTCTGGCTCTGCCTCTCCGGCCTCCCTCCTTCCCTTCTAAAGAAAGAACCCGTGTGATCATGATGGGTCCACCTAATGAACAACCATAATCTCCCAATCACATGATCTTTCATCTGTAAATTCCCTTTATTTAGGGACGAGGATGTGGACACCTTGAGGGGCCCTTGTTCTGTCTACTACGCCTTTCCAGGCCGTGTTCATCGTGTTCCTTCACCTTGTGGGCAGCCTGGACTTGGTCATGCTGTCTGCGGGGTCCGTTCCTGCAGAGATGTCCACAACACCTTTATTCCCCCAAGTGATGGAGACAAAGGCCATTGCACAGTCCCGCCAGCCCTCTCCACCTCCTCCTTGTAAGTAATGCTCATTGTAAAAAATGAAAAGAAAGATGCAACTCACAGCTCCAAGATCACAGCCCACAGCTCACATCCCTAGTTGGTGGCCATCAGCACCACAGACAGCGCCTGGGCGATGCTCCCCGCCCCCTCTCCCTCCGTGTTGCAGCAGGGCAGACTCCAGGAGAAGGGACTGCTGGAAAGTCCCCTGGTTTCTATTCTACATGAGAAAGACACAACAAGGAGAGTGTTATTATAGGGATAACCCAATTCTGCTCTAGTTTATAAGTCGTGAACTCATTGCATGTGTCTGGATCTTAGTTGTTGGCAGGTCCATTACGCTCCTCACAACGCTGATTGCTGCACGCAGAGGGTGGCCTCTGGGAGGCGGAGCCTCCTCTGGCTTCTCAGGGAATTTCCCTACCCTTGAGGGTCAGGCCACTCCCTTGCCTACAACACAGAGGGGATGTTTCATAATTAACTTCTGACTCTCAGTGCCTAACCTTGGAAACACACCCAGCCTGGAGCACCCCTGAGCACAAGCAAACAAACAAAAAAATAAAACATCACTGTTAATAAGGAAATGGCAGCATTCCATTTAAAATTAAGAACAACTCGCCCTGACCGGTTTGGCTTAGCGGTTGAAGTGCTGGCACGCAGACCAGAGAGGCCCGGGTTCAGTTCCTGCTAAGGGCATGTACCTCGGTTGCAGTTTGTCCCCGGCCCTGTTTGGGGTCGTGTGGGTGACAACCACTCCATGTGTCTCTCTCACATAGATGTTTCTCCCTCTCTCCCTCTCTCTCTATCTCAAGATGAATGCAAAAATGTCCTCAGTGAGGATAAAAAAAATTTTTTTTTTAAATTAGGAACAACTCAAGGATGCCTAGTGTTGTCAATGTTATAGTGGGATTTCGCAGCCAGCACAGATCAACTGTCATTATTCACGAATGATTATTATCTACACAGAAGGCCCAAAAAAACCTATAAATAAATTATTAGAAATGACAAGAGTCTAGCAAGATGTCTGTCTGTAAGATCAACATATTTTATAAAAATCAATTGCATTTCTATAAATTAAAAACAAATAGAAATGTAATTTTAAAAAGACATCATTTATAGCCCTGGCTGGTATGGCTCAGTTGAGTTATAGCATCATCCAGTTCACTGAAGGGTCTCAGGTTCCATTCCTGGTCAGGGCACATATCCAAGTTGAAGGTTTAATCCCTGGTTGAGGTTCTGATCGATGCTTCTCTCTCACATCAGTGTCTCTCTCTCTTTCTTTCTCTCTCTCCTTCTTCCTTCCTTTCTCTCTAGAATCAACCGACGTATGTGCCCCAAGCAGGAACCAAACCCAGGTCTCTCTGGACCGCAGGCCGACGCTCCAACCGCTGAGCCAAACCGGCCAGGGCGAGGACTTTTATTTTTTTTATTTATTTTATTTTATTTTTTATTTTTTTTATCCTCACCTGAGGACATTTTTCCATTTTTTGATCAGCTAGAGCGGGAGGGAGAGAGAAGAAGAGAGAGAGAGAGAGAGAGAGAGAGAGAGAGAGAGAGAGAGAGAGAGAGAAAGAGAGAAACATCGATGTGAAAGGGACACATCGAGTGGCTGCCACCCTCATGACCCAACCAGGGCCGGGGACAAACTACAACCAAAGTACATGCCCTTATGGGAACTGAACCCTGGTCTCTCTGGACCACAGGCCGACGCTCTAACCACTGAGCAAAACCGGCCAGGGCGAGGACTTTTTTTTTAAAGATATCATTTATAATGATAAACACTATTTCTTATTTTGGAATAAATTAACAAAAGATGTGCAAGATCCTAATACAGAAAATAAGAACCTTTACTGAAAAAATATTAAGGATGATCTAAATAACAGAAAGACATTACCTGTTCATGGATAGAAAGATTCGAGTTCATAATCTATAAACTCTCCCCTAAATAAACTATTATTGCCCTGGCTATTTTGGCTCAGCAGCTGGAGCGTCGGCCTGTGGACCAGAGAGTCCCGGGTTCGGTTCCCGCTAGGGGCATATACCAAAAAAATAAACTATTATTCATTGAAATTCCAATCAAAATCCCAACAAGGTTTTCATGGAACTTGATAAGCTGATCCTAAATGTATGTGGAGGTGCAAAAGCCGAATAGCCAATATTCTCCTGAGGATGAAGAAGAAGTGAGGAGGGGAAGGATTTGCCTTAGCAAGTGTGAAGATTTATTATAAAACTATAAAAATTAAGGCAGAGTAGTATTGGCACAGGAGTAGATGAATTGATCAATGGACAAAACAGGAACCCCAGAAACAGACTCATACCAATATGGAACTCTGATATAATATGCAACCAAGATGCCATTGAAGATAAATGGCGGGGGGGGGGGGGGGGGATTCAATAAATGGGGCTGGACAATTAGTTATCCATATGAAAAGATTCCTACCTCAAATACCCACAAAAATTAGTTCTACACAAATTAAGAACTTCAATGTGAAAAGCCAAACTTAATTTTTTGAGGATATAAAGGAGCACATATTTTACGTATTTGGGTAGAGAACGGTCTCTTAAGCAAGGTAAAGGAAGAATCAACCATAAAACTGGAAGACTGATAAATTCAACATTAAAATTCTGTTCTTCTAAAGATATCATAAAAAATTTAGACAAGCCATCCGACAAAGGATTAGGATATAATAATAAACATACATACATAAAGAATGCCTACATATCAGTAAGAAAGAGATAAACAACCCTACAGAAAAAGAGACTCCCCCCAAATAGGCATCTTACAAAAGAAGCACAGCCAATAATAATACATGAATAAAACAAAGTTCAACTTACTTAGTAATCAGGGAGATACAAATTTAGACCGTGATGAGATGCCATTTTACACTCACCAGATAGGCAAAAATTAAAAAGTCTGAGAACCTGAAGGGCATGTAGATTAAGAAGAATTCTTCACTCTCTCACCAGTAATATATAATTGCTGTAACCACTTTGGAAAACAACTTGGCATTGTCTCACAGAGCTGCACTTCCACTCCTGGGTGTGCGCCCAGGAGAAATTCTCACACAACCTGTACAAGAATACTCATAGCAGCAATGGCCATAAGTACCAGAAAAACTGGGGGGTGGGGAGAATCCAAGCATAACTGATAAGAATTGTATTGTGATTCAACACCATAGGAAGTAATACATCAGTGAAAATGAAGAACAAAACCACACACTGGAACATGGGTGAATATTAGAAATACGATGATGAGTTTTTGAAAAGCAAGTTCCAGAACACTACATACAATAAACCACTTTTACATAGATCAAAAGCAAGCAAATATAAACAACACTTATTGTTCAAGCATATTAAACATATGTGATCAAAGCATATAAAAACCCGAACAAGTAAAATGGTGGTTACTTTATGGGAGGAGTCAAAGAGACGGGATGGGAAAAAACATACAGGTAAAATGCAAGTTACTCCTGATATCCTATTTCTTTTTGGTGTTAAATTATATGAGTTCTATATATATTTTGGATATTAACCTCTTATCAGATGTATCACTGGTCTTTATTTTTAATTGCCCCCCAGCTTTATTAAGGTACAATTGACAAGGAAATTATATATTTTTAAGGTATACACTTGATGATTTGATATACATTGATAATCATCACACTCAAGGTAATTAACATGTCCATCACCTCACATGGTTACCTTTTTCTTGTGTGTGTTTTTTATTTTTATTGAATTTATTGGTGTGACACTGGTAAATGTGTCATTGTTGAACATCTTCTCCCACTCAGTAGGCTATCACATTCCTTGTGCTGTGCTTTATGTCCCCATAACTATTTTGTAATTATCACTTTGTCCTTGTTAATTCCTTCACCTTTT